AGAAGAAGATGTTACGCATTAAGTACGCATATAAAACGCAATAAAATACGCAAAGCATACGCGTATTATACGCATACTATACGCAACGTGTACGCGTACTATACGCGTTACATACGCAACGTGTACGCATACCATACACAATGTACGCAAATGATGAGAAAAATATCAGCAGAAATCTAGGGTTTTTTACACTAATCGTTTTTCTTTATTGGAAGTTTAGTTTTATAATTTAAAGATCCAAAGTATTTATTATAAAATGTTAGGATTTGTCTTCAACATATACGCAGAAAATAAGAGAAATTTACGCATATTATACACATTGTGTACAAAGAAAATACGCAAATGGTGAGATAAATATAAACTTTTATAGTTACTCAGAATGATTTTAATTTATTTTTTGGTTTCTTCAGCAAATACACATTGAATATCAAAGATATCCGTTGTTCATTTTATGTCAATATAAGAATTTTCGCACCTTTCTCTTTGCAGGTGAATCATTTCCCTCGTCCATGATGAGCAGAAGAGATTGCTGGAGGAATTCAGAAGATATATTTTGCAGGAAGCTCGGGAGAAATAGAGCGAATGGCCGAAATGTGGAATTTGGAAAATGTTAAAATTTTTCGTCTTTTTCATTGTATTTACTGGGCGGGCCTCGTATTATTTAGTCTTGAAATGACAAACGGATCGGGTCTTAATTTTTCACATTAGCACGCCACGCATTATATTTTTATTGACGACTATTAAAGACTGAACACATACATGTGATAGAATACCTCACATAGAATAATTTCTCCGAATTCACAGCTCCCTTAGAGCAGCCTGCGGATTCCGCACCGAATATTTTCTCCGGCACCCTACCGGCCTACTCACTATTTTGACGCCCGATCCGCTCCCTCTGGCTACGTTCCCCGCTCTACATCCAGTTTTCTCCGCCGTATTTCCTCTCTGCGTGCTATGCTCTCGTTGCTTTTCTCTTACCATTCTCCTTACTTTTCGCTACCTTCTCTTCTCTTTACTCTACCCGGCCCGCCTCATCCCTTTCTATCGATCGCCCAAAACTGTGCCCCTCTCAGTTTCCCGTGAACTTATGGCAACTGAACCCTACTCCCTGTTCCCTTCCTCCTGATCCTGTCAATCCTCTGCTTCCTAATTTCTCGTCCCCCAACTTTCAACATCTGCAATTACAGAGGAAATCAAGTTTTCAAAATCCCTATATCGCCGTCATCCTCAGTTTCCCAATCGCCGATATATGGAAGTTTCGGCGACCAGGTTTACAACTCGTTGCTAAGGCTTAAATAACTGGTCCCTTTACATCAAATCCTCTCCGAGATGTTTGAGGCGCACGTAAGATTCTTCAGCTGATTGTCCGTGACACTTGCTATACTTGTATGAAGGGTTCCGAATCAGGATTGGAGACTGGTTTCATTGAAATATATGCTTTTTCTCTTTATTGTCGGGGGTATGGTTTAACGGGGTTTTGAAAAGCATTTTTGCATACTGTATTGAAATATTTCATGTTACTCTTAATTTATGGGCAATTCACGATACGTCATAAGTTATATTTCAGGTAGTGCCTGAAATGTTAAGGAGTTAGTTGCCATGTCATTCTTGAATATTATAGCTGACATAGCTTAATTGAAATTGTAAAGCTGCCAGTTCATTTCCTTATCCTGGTAAAGGTTTTTATTAGGTTGGGTATGAATCATTTTTGAAATGGGATCTGTAATCACGGGCAAATTATTGGGTCAGGTGACCGAAGCCATCTCTCCGTTCGGTTGCCAATAAAAATGCGACATCTGTTAGGCTTTTTTTTAATTTAATAATAACGCTTATTGTCTTTTCAGATTACACCGAACCCGATTAACGTCTTTTCATTTAACTTTTAAGCATTGCGCCCTATTTTCTATTTACAATCCCAAAGACCAAATAAAGACTCTGGTAAAGAAAAAAACGGTCAACCAGAAAATTGCAAGAAGAAAATACTGCTCAGCGAAAGGGAAGTGTAAGAGGCATGGAAAGTGAGTGCATGAATCGGAAGGACTTGCATGAAATCGAAGGCCGTGCATGAATACAGATAATCCGAAACCTAACTAGGCCTGAAATTCCTCTTGGTTCAACATTATCGGTAAGTTTAGAAATTGTACAATCATTCAGTTTTAATATTATCGCCCTTCGCAGAAAGAAGACTAGGTTTCAGCTCATTAGTTTAGGATCTTTGATTTTGCGATTTTTAAGCAGAATAAATTTCTTTTGTCGAAAAAGTTAAAAAAAAAAAAATCTAATTTTGTTGTTTCTTTAGCTTTCATTATTGATTTTAGGTTGAAGATGATAAATAAAAAAAAATTAACTTGTCGCTTATATTGTGCGCTATAGTTACGCTATGGTGCGCTTAAGTTGCGCTATAGTTGCGCAATAGTCCTATATGTGCGCTATATTGCTTAATTGCGCTATTGTGCGCTATGTCCGCATAGTTGCGCTATATAGTTTGACGCTATACTTCTATAGTTGCGCTATAGTTGCGCTAACTTGCGCCTATAGTTGGCGCTATAGTTCGCTCGATAGTTGCGCTATTGTTGCGCTATAGTTGCCATACTTGCGCTACTTGCGACTTTACTTGCGCCTTTACTTGCGCTTAGCGCTACTTTTGTTTCAGGCTGGTTTATAAAGATGAGACAGAAGCATATGAATGTTTTTGCACTTATGCTCACATAATGGATTTAGTGTCCAAAGATCATCACAGTTTTTGGCCAAATTCTAGAAAGATAAAATCGAAGACCTTTTTTTTCAAAAGCTGGTTTCAAGAAAAGTGACACATACTTCAGGAAGAGAAAGATATCACATAGACCCAGTTTCAGAACGTTTCAAGAAAAGTTTTGTATCGCAGTAATGTCAGTCCACCTGTATTTTTCCGGCCTCACTCATTGGTACATTGTCAAGACAATAAAAATCTCTGCAAAAAAACAGACAAAATTTATTATAAGCGAACCATAGCGCAACCATAGCGCAACATAAGCGCACTACAACCATAGCGCAACTATAGCGCAAACCTTAAACATATATTTGCATCAGTAAACGAAAAAATTACCGTCACTTCTCATTAAATAAAATAATTGGCTGCATTATCTTGAGTAAAGATATAAATCGGTATACCCTGCCTCTAAAAAAACGTGGTCTTATTTCTGAATCGGTTGGTTTATTCAAAGAAAAATATATCCAAAAACCAAACTGTATAATCCAAAAATAAAAATTTTAAAGTTAACATTTAAAAACATTAAACATGGAATAACCAGTAGAGTGGAAACTTACCAGTAGAAAGAGGAAAAAAGCCATTGATAGTAACCCAATGGTTTTTGTTGTTGAATACTTCAAAAAATTATGTTAACTCCGCAACCATGAAGTTCCTTAAGCATGAAGACCCAATTAATGGAAGCGAACTCACTAAATATTTGCAAAGTTGTGAGCCTTCTAAGGGGTTTTGACTATTTAGTGAAAAAAGGTTAGATACAAAAACATAATAAAGGTTCTATTTGTTGACATTATCAGATAACTCTGTCTAATTTTGCAAAATCTGTTTTAAACTTCAGTTGACAAGGTCCATTTTAGAGTGATGCAATCCTCCATTTTATATCAATGCCCTGTTTTGGCAAACCTGTCAGAAAATTTCAGTCGTTAAAGTTTAAAAAACATATAGCTATAAAAATCCATATTCAAATATTAACCTATCAACAAATGCAACCATCGTCAGAAGTGAATTTCAAAACATGACCCAGGACGATGAAGCCTTCATCAGCAGACTCCAAAATTGAGAAACCTCAAAAGAAGTGGTAATGCACTGCTGGAAAGCGGGGAACTTCAAAAATTGATGAATGTTCAGATCCTTTAATGTTTGCTCCACTTCATCACAATGATCTCGACATACAGTCATACACAATGTTCCGGAAAGAAGAACATAAATCTAGATGTTACTGACCTTTTAGTGCGTCCTCACATAAAAACAAGAAAATCAAACCATAGCGCAACAATAGCGCAACCATAGCGCAACCATAGCGAACATGCACAATACGATCATAGCCCAATCATAGCGCAACCTTACATTTCGTAATTATTAGCTTCAAGAAGTTCAATTCAGAAATAAAAACAAAAATTTAACACCTCACTTGAAACATATATGCTAGTATACAACTATTACTAAACCCTAAATGTTAGAAGATAGCTAAACACTTTCGTATCATTTGCTTCATTCATTTACGAAGAGAAGAAGCGTGAAAAATAGAAAATAAACATTGAACAGTACATTACATTAAGCAAACAATGGTAAAATTATAACCAAACCTAAACCTAAAATTTAACATTAACTTAAACGTAACGAAAGCGAATAAAGCCGCAAGTTAGGCGCAACCATATACCTCTTCCTGATTGAATGATCTTCTACAGGTTCGTCGTCTACCTCCGCAGGAATAAGCTATTGCAGAACAAGGAAATGAGGAATCCGAGCGCTTACAATGCTGGAGCTGAGAACAGTAAAATTGTCGCGCGGCGTTTCCATTCTTTATTTTCGGAATTCAAAATGAAAAGCGTTATCGGGTCGGGTCGCTAACTCTGAAAAACATAAACTGTTAATATATAAATTAAAAAAAGCCTAACAGAGTTCGCATTTTTATTGGCGAAGCCGAACGAGAGATGGCTTCGGTCACCTGACCCAATAATTTGCCGTAATGTAATCACGAGGCTGTGTGGGGTCATTTTTTTGTTTTTCAAAACATGTTGGATTTTGTATTTTTAGCTCTTTTTGGTTCTTGTTTTTGAAAACAAATCAAATCTGTTTTTTAAAATGCTTAAAACTACATTTAAATATTTTTTAGGTGCTGGCAAATTTGTTTTATAATAAAAACCACTGGTCATTACCACCACCCATTACTAGCCGCATTATGCAATATTCAATAAAAACAAAAAAACGACACTTATTGAAAGCCAAATTGCTACCACTGTCTGCTATAGCCACATCATGCAATAAAAACTAAAACGACAGTTATATATATACAGTGCTCCCAAATGGCCACTGACTTTTTTAAACTGCTGCCCGTAGAAAAGTGAACCTTCGAATTATTTTGTTTTTAGTTTTAGTTTGCCTAATTGGTGGAAAGGTTTGTAATATTGTTTTTTTTTTTCTAGATACAGGTTTGAAGCATGTCAGCATGGCTCTGTTTTGATTTTATGCTTCTTTTGGTGTCTGTCTCTGACATGCTGCTTGTATCAAGTTTTCCTTCTGTATTCTTATGCACACCTCAGTGATTTATTTGAGTTTTCTGTTCGCATAGGTTTTTTGTTTAAAAGTGTTATTTCGGAGGTAGTTATGGATTTTCTATCTAATCTCCTTTTGATTTTTAATTGTTTAATATTATTTGTTTATTGCCTTAAAACTTCCCCTCTTGATTCTTGTATTCTATTAATCTTTTGTAGCCAATGTTTTACTTCACATTGGTACACAATTCTTTAGGTTTAGCCTTTTCTTTGAAGTGAAGACTAAATTCTTAGTAAAAACATTTACTAATTGAATCAGCATACTCGAACCCTTTAAAGGGCAACTAAAAAATGTGTTTGTGAATAATCTTCTTCCTAATAACTAAAAGATGGTTCTTATACTTATATCTTGACACATAATGAATAAAGTACCATAACATGAAAAAAAAAAAAACAAGGATTTAAATGCAATTTCATAAAGAACCAGCTATTTGAACCATTTATTGGTCTGGAAGGTCCTTTCAGTCAATCTTGAACTCAGGTTGGGTATAAATCGTGATTACTTGGAACCATCGTGGAATTAACCTGATGGCTTGCATCACATTAAGCTTATGTTGTTGTCAAATTTGCAGTATCTACTATTATTTTATGTTAAGCATCCCATAAGCCATTTAGTCCATGGTGAGTTGGCCTGGTTAACTGTAGTTTCCTTGAACCTCACCTTTTGTTAGGTTCTGCATCTGTCACAATCCCACTACAGCATTGATTTAGAATTGTCTAAATACTTAGTTTTTTGGTATACTTTTCTGCTTTAGCCCTTCTTGATATTGTTCTAAAACAGATTATTGACATCCTTTAACTTAAGTTATGTTTTACTTGACGCCTTCATTTTAATTAATGATATTCTATGTGCTGTAAATATACAATGGAGTGTTCTAAATGTTATTATTTTCTTCCCCAGCACTTCAAAAAATTCTAACTCTGTTGAGCTGCTGTGGAAATTGCTTTGTTCCGTATTATATTACAAAAATAAAGCCTTACAAAGCTGTTGAGGCCTTTATCATACATAAGTACATGCATTTTTCTGACTTTGGCACGGAGAGTTTATTTATATGTTCCTGTTCATGGCTCTTTATATTGTTGCTTGGTAGATGACCAGTACGTTTTTATTAACTGTTAATTGAACTTATGTGCAGCTTCTGACTGTTTAATTCATGTTTATCATTTAATTTGTAATTTATTGCAGGTTCTTTATCTGCTTCGGAAATATTTGGGTGAATATATTGAGGGCCTTTCTGTTGAAGCTCTTAGAATCAGTGTTTGGAAAGGTTTTTTTTGGTCATATAATCTTTATTTAATGTTTTCTTACTAAAAATGTAATGTTCAATACATAATCTGAGCATTAGATATTTTTAGTGTTTTCATCATTGTAGATACATGACCCATGCTTTGTATTTATCCAATTATTCTTATGCATTTTGTGGCATTGTCATTTATTCATAATTTATTGTAGCTCTCCTTTGATATTACTTGTAAATTGAAATCAAGTTACACAAAATGATAAAGTTTGCTAGCTTTCATTATTTATTTTGTTGTAATTAGTTATCAATACGTATTTTAAACTTCATAAATACCCCAATACAAGGACCAATTTTTTCATCCTCAAAATGATAGAACAAAATAGTGATGAGTTTGCAGTAGTTAACCTGAATTATAGGTCATTAGAGGTTGCCAAGGGACTTTAGTAAGGTTTGGCCGGACGCGGTGAGCTCGGACAATGTACAATAGTGTCCATTCAAGCTCATGAAAATGGTAAAGAATGCTAGCTTTGATTATTTATTTTGTTGTAATTAGTTATCTATATGTATTTTACAATAACAACAACAACATCAAGCCTTTATCCTACTACATGAGATTGGCTACATGAATCTTTTTTTTTCCATTGTGTCATGTTATGAGTCAAATTCTCATTTAAATCTAATAAGGAAAGGTCATTTCTAATATTTTTTAACCAAATCGGACAATGTACAAAAACAAAAGAGATTATCACCTTTGAGTAACCTAGTAAATCCTTTACACTCCACTTACAAGAAATCTCTCTCAAACACTCTCCCAAATCACCCTTTCACTTGCTCTCTAAGAAATCACGAAGACCAGATTTGTATCAGTCAGTTTCTAAGGACCTTTTATATGAAAGATACGAAAAATTGTTCAAAAAATTTAAAATTTCAATTTTGAGCGTACACGATCGTACAGTACCAGCCACATTTGTCTCGGACGAATAATTCAAAATTGGCTCGTACGGTCATGTACGAAATATTTTCGTACAGGCATATCGTACAATAGAATAGGTATATTGTACAGTACAAACAGTTATAAAAAAATTCATATTCGTATGGACCGAAATGTTTCCCACAATTTTGTACTCTGGACGTTCTATACGAAATCCAAATCATCCCGGACGAACAGCTTAAAAAATTGACATGTTCGTCTGGACAAAAAATGTTCCCCACATTTTTGTACTTTGGACGTTCTGTACGAAATCCAGATCGTCCCGGACAAACAGTTCAAAAATTGACATGTTCGTCTAAACGAAAATGTTCCCCACATTTTCGTACTCTGGACGTTTTGTACGAAATCAACTTCGTACAGTGCGAACAGTACTTAGAAAAATTTTCTCGTCTAAGCTTTGATTAACTGCTTGCTGGAGGAAATAACTGATCAAATCGTCCCATACGAACTGAAATCGTACAGTACAATTAGTTTAAAGTTTAAAAATTTATAATTTTTTTTTAACACTCCCCAGTGTGTATGTGCACGGTTACTCAATTACAATCACACTCTCTCAGACTCAATAAAAGTGTAAAAATACTGACTCCAATTATAATGAACCCTATGCAAATCTGACTTGAAGTCTTCAACAGTTTGGAGTATGATTTTCCTAAAATGTTAGTACACACAAAACAAAAATAATATATCCAATATATGTTAGGAGAAACAGTAAAAAAATATTTGAAATCATCAAAAAATACACATGATATGAAAACATAGTTATATAAACTAAGTTGCAACAAGGATGCCATCATGCCAGCAGTTAAAGGGTCGTGGGATGATGTTTCGACTCCGGTGGGCGGCAGTAGTGACGTCAACGATTTAGCCAGAGAAGAAAAATCGTTTTCTCCAGTTCATTGATTCGAGTTAGCCGGGTCAATTCGGGTTTTTAGGTCAACTCGAACCCGACCTGTTTTTCAGATTGGTCAACAATCTGAACCCGGACCCGACCCATTTCACAAACGGGTTAACCCGAACCCGGATTTTTCTGGGTTGGGTTTTGGGTCATGTCAACTTTTGATACCCCTACACAGCAGTCGCCACGTGGCTTGTCAAGGCTTATTTCTTTTTGAAAATTGAATAACTTGATTTTTTTTTTGAAAATTGAACTTATTTCTTGACGAGGCTTGTCTTCTTTCTTGATGAGGCTTGTCTTCTTTCAAAAAGTTATAATATTTAAAATTTCAAGCTTTCATTAATCAGAAAATAATAATTGTAGAATTGATAACCTTAGCACTACCCAAATATGAGCTTTTCATGTGACTCACTTCGCTGGTTATCTACCAAATTATTACTTTTTTGAAATTTAATATTTAGTTAAGTGGAGGATGATTTGTGGTTAGTAGTATTGTTCATAAGGATGCATCTTTAAGGTTCTTGACGCACAATTTTGGGATGTAGGCATACTATCATTTGCATTTTTGTTTGATTGGACTGAACTTTTCTGTGAATAAATATTAGAAATTTTTTTTACATGAAATGAAATGATGCACATATAAAGTCCTTTGCTGATCTAAAACATTTTTGATGAGGACATCGTCAGCATTTTTCGACACACGTACCTTTATGAGACGCTGGAGATCGACGGCCACGAGCATGAGTTGTATTTTGCATTTTATGTGAGTTTATATTTATTTTGATGTTTTTCCCGCTTTTGCCCTTATGGGCAATTGAGTCGCTTATGTAGCCGGAAGGCATTTGTGTCATTTCTTGTTATTTCCATTTTGGCCTAATTTATATGAGGCCTCATGCATTGTAATTTCATTTTGGTTGATGAAAATTTTAGAGTTCATGTTCTCTTGTGAGTGCAACCCTCCTCGTCTCTAGTGATTCGTAGGAGAAACTAAAGATCTCTTTTGTGAGTTCCTAGTTTTCCTATCCTTCTCTTTTTCTTTAATTCTTGAATCAATTCGTCGTTGCGGAGACGAACGCTTGTGGATCCTCTTTGTGAGTTCCATGGGAGGAGACGCATGAGGTTTGAATTCCCCTTTGAAATTACTTCCAAGTTTTCTCCCGCAATTCTCATGGCCGCCGCTTCCCTCTTTCCCTAAGCCCCTTGCCGCCGGCCACCCTGGGCCGCTCAGGCCGCCGGCCCCTCTTCCCAATTTTCCTTCCCACCGCTCCACCGCCGGCCACTCTTGGAGTTTGAAATTCTGAAATTCAAAAGCTCTCATGAGGCCTTTGATACTTTCCTAAATTTAGCTCCTTAATTTGAGGTCTCCAAATTAATTAGATTTCAATTTGAATTTTGGAATTTCAAATTGGTCTTAATTAATACCCTCTTCATTAGAAACTCCCTAGCTTAAAAACCTAAATATAATTTCAAATTTTATTTAAAGCTTTGTTTAGCCAAGTGGTCCCCACCATACTTAAGTTAAACATTTTCTCCCTCTCTATGCTTGGCCGGCCTTCCCCTTATTGTTTCTATTTAATTGCCACAATCACCTCTCTAACTGCTCCTCTCACAGTTAAATTCCAGATTTCATCAGTTTTAATATTCAGATTCAAAATCTGAAAACTGAAACGGATTTCCTCTCTCCTTAGTTGCTCCCTCTCCACTACTCAGCCCCATCCACTCCTTATTGCCGCTCTCTCCCTATGGGAATTTAAATTTGAAAACTCTCATTAATCCCTTTTTTCTCTCACCCAAAAACCTAGAATAATTCAGGTTACTGAAATTTTCTTGTGGCTCTTCAACCTAGCCGCCCCATAACTTTTCCCTCCAACTAACTTCAGTTTTTTATTCCACAGATTTCCAAAATCTGAGATTGGAAATCAAGATTATTCCCTCTCAGATTTCCTCTCCTCCCCTTCACGTGGCTTTGGTTTTTCCAGAGTCTTGTGTTAAGTTTTTCCTCCTAAATAAGAGTTGGAATCCCTTCAGTTTCTGAGAAGAAAAAATCTGAAACATTTTCTGATTCTCTCCAAAGAATTACCTTCAGCTTTGTAGAAAAGAATTTGGAAAACGGGAAGTCTTTCTGAGATTCCTTTTTCCCATTGAGAAACATCGATGCGTATCCACTACACCTTAGTTGAGACGTGATCGACGAGCAAGGTCAAAAGGGACGTTGGATCATCATTGGACGACACATCTCCACCACTCCGGCCACCTATCCAAGAACGACGATCCTAGGTTCCTTCTTCCTGGAGCCGACCTCGATTCGCTAATGTGGAGACTCTTCTACCCGCTAAAGCCTAGACATTTGAGCGTATGGGCTCCAAAGATGAAAGTTCTCTCATATTAAATCGTGGATTCTTGTTTATTGTCGTAGCGTAACAATTATTATTGGGCGTTTTCTTGAAATTGTTTGGTTAATCGATTCACTCTTCTTTGCCTAAGCAAGTTAAAAACTAAGAATCTCTAAGGAGCATCGTTGTTATAAGTAAATAAATTTATTATGGGAACACTTCGTAATTCCCGCTCTCTTTAATTTCTTAAAGTAATCCCCTATTGTTTCACATTAATTTTCTGATGTAATATCCTGCACCATATTGAAGATGTATGTGGATATAATATCCTTTGCAATATACTTGTGGGAATGATTGTCTTTTCCGAGTATTTATCAGAAAATGTTATTTGTACCAGAACATTTTATTGTTAGCAATTGAGCTCTCTCTCATATTTGATGACTTTTTGGTTGCCTTTGATTTTGTTCTCTATTTATTAATTCTGTAAGAACTGTTTAATTGAATTAAATTTTTACATTATGCATTGATGAGAATTTTTTCTTATTTGAATTTCCTGTTATATACGCTGGGTATCATATTTTTAAACTGTGTTCTAAAGTCTCTCTCCTTATGAATGTTGTCCTATAGGAGATGTTGTTTTGAAAGACTTGAGATGAAGGCTAGGCACTGACTCTTTGAAGCTTCCTGTTACAGTCAAAGCTGCTTATAGGCACTATAAAATTACCAGTGTTTTTTTTTTTTTTTTTAATTTCGCGGATATTCAAATCTTTCTTCTGAGCAGGTAAAGAGTTCCTTATGGAGTTGTTTTGTAAATGTGTAGTATTTGAATTATTCTTTACAATAAGTTTTTTGATTTAGTTTTTTGTTTTATGCTTTAAATGCTTTCAATGTTGAAATGTTTGGTTGTGTTATAAAGCTTAGGCTATTTTCTTTAGCATTCATTAATTGTGAAAGTATGCATAACCATGGAGCATTGTGCTAAACTCTGTTGAGTTGGAGTGCATCTTATCTGCAATCAAGGCGCAGGGCCTTTTTTTTTGGAGTGGAATGCCCTTTCTACCATTTTTTTACTAACATCCTCTTTGCAATAAGTTGTTTCTACGCTTCGTTTGCTTATGCACTCATGTTCTTGAGATTTGACCATTATTATATCTGAATTCACTAAATTAGTATCCTTTAAACTTGCTAAGTAATGAACATATATTGGTTGTGCATGGAAAAGTGTTTTGAATTTTGAATAATCTTCTACTTTTGAGTCCTGTGGCAACCATAAAAAAGAAGCGAAAATATATGAAGTGAAATGCATAATTGGCAGCTTTTTATTAGTTCTGATTGCATTTGTGTTTTTTATATTATGATTTCTCGTGAGCTGTGCTTTGCAACAAGATGTTTGGCTATGTTGGTTATTGGTGTTTCTGTTGAAAATGTTCATTTCCCTTCATCACCCTTGGATATAAAATGAAATTAATTGTAACTTATGAGTTTTGTCTACGCTTGTTGTGGGCCCCAATTATCATTGACTTGATATTTTCCTCGATGACTTACTAATGTGCCACTTCTGACAATTTTATAGTTATTACGTGTTCAATTCCTATTGTGGCTCGAAAACTTTTCGGCAGTGTTCTAATTCTGTTCACTTGATATAGGTTCCCTGGAAAAACTTTGGCAAAGAACCTGTTGTTTGTCTGATCGATCGTATATTCGTGCTTGCTGACCTGCTCCAGATGGGACACACTTTTAGAATGGTCTTTGATTCATTTTATCAAGCTATTTAGAAACGTGATCTAGCTATCTCTGCAATTATATGAATTATTTCAAGATGAACAGCAACTAGGAAAATCAATATAAATGTTGTGGGTGATTGATTTTCTAAAGGATAAATGATGAAATTCTACGCTGACACTTTTTCTTGGCAGGACCAAGATAGAGAAAAAGCTTTTGAAAAGCAAAGCTCCAGCAAATCGGTTTGTAAACCCTTATCTGGTAGAAATATGAAGAGCAGAAGAAGCACCTATAAGTTATAGATAGAATAAACGTGAACTTGTAATTAAAGCTGTACAAACACTTGGTGTACATTAGAAGTAAATACTCACAACACACAATTCATCCGTAATTGAATGCTTGTCATGAAGCTGATGATTGTGTAGTTTTATTTAGGAAAACGTTTTCTTTTTACAGCTTCTAATTCTTATTCCTTGTTTGGATATTATTGTCTTAATATGGTGATTAGGGTGCTTCTTTTTTTTTTTGTTTGCTTTC